ATGATGAGTTTGTGAATCCTGGGAGATTAGACTTAGAATTGCATTTGTAACATTCCTCATATGATCCAAGTTGTATGTTGAAATGATATTTTCCATAAATATTATTCTAGGCTGTATGACCAGTGCGAGCTATATTTTCTTCATTCTTCAGTCTTTCACTGTTGGTGTCACTGTTTCACATCTTGTTTTGTATTGTTCCACGTCGCGATCTTTCACGTTAATAGTGTATACGAACGAGTCAATTTTCTTAACTATTTGCCTTGTCAGCATCACTTTATTTCACTAATGTTTTCGACGATAAGCAATTAAGTTATTATAACAAGGCCTACGTACATCTATAGCTTCTAACAAACGGGTTCCTTGAATTTGATCGAACAACTCGTCAGTTCATTGTAAAGAACAGCGATTCTTGGTCGTCAGTTTGTTCAAGTTTCTTGATAGGGATTTGTGGGTATCCTGACCGTAAGTCAATCTTAGAGAATACAATGAATTCGCTAAGCTGATCAAATAAGTCATGATACGAGGTAAAGGAGAATGAATTGTTCAACTGACAGTAGTTGATATAGAGTCTCATTGATTCGCGTATGAACAAAATAGGTATTTTCCCAAGGAGGAAACACTTGATCAGGTGATTCTTTGTCAGGAAGTCATTGATGGAAACACGATCAATACAGAGTTACGAATATTGGTCCTTTCTAGGATCAAGATTGACAGAGAATTCAATTTCTCGGAACGGTGAAATATTAGGAAATTCATATCAGTGAGGTGACATACTTTCGGTACGTTACTTCAGTTCAGATGTTTCTTTTTGCGTAGACTTCACACTTGTTATGGCTGAGATGTTTTCATATATATATATATATATATATATATATATATATATATATATATATATATATATATATATATATATATATATATATATATATATATATATATATATATATATATATATATATATATATATATATATATATATATATATATATATTCGAGATGAACTCGGTTGGTTTAGATATCAGATTTGCTTTCACCTCTATGAGTTTACCATCATCGGTCTTCAGTTGAGGAATTCTTCATCACAAGTTGTCAACAGCTACAATGTTCAGTCAGCCAATGCATACTAAGGATAACATCAATTTCCTTGTATGGTATTTTGACGAGGTTTTGCAAGGAATTGTTGCATAACGAACGATTTCGATTCGTATGATATAATCACATATTTGCGTTGTAATGAGTTAGACATCAGAATGGGACCATTTTAGACAAAAGAGTTTATGGATTCTTATGGATTCTAAACGTTCGTGTTTGAATCAGCGATCCAATCGTCTTCGGTCCACATGAGGATCTTTGACAGTAGCTTCACAGATGTTATTCAACATTAATTGTTTCTTCATAGTCGTCTCACTTCTAAGCGACTTTACAAGGACGATCAGTTTCGTAATTCGCGATGCGATAAGTATGTTGATAATGTATGAGGGAGTCATAATTTTTTTTATTTATTCTTTCGTCTCTTCACCGAGTACGAAAGTTCTATTAGAGTCTATGCTCGATATGATTTCAGTACTAATCAATTATTATTTAATGAGAATTCTAACAGACTAAATATTTACCAAGTAATTTCTCATACCTTTCCTGGAGCAGAGGGATGCGAGAGTCGTGGATGTGATTGAATATTTTTTTAAATTCAAGTTTCGATCCGAAGATCGGGTTTAAAACCATTTGCTCCGATACCAAACTGTAACACCCTAATCTGTCCAGGTCTGCAGCCCCTTTCAGATTAAAGTATTAACTTGGTAATCGAAAAAAATTTAAAACATTTCAAACACTTTTATTTATCACAATAATATTTTTCATAATATAAACAGTACGGAGTTTTCAATATTGCGGAAGCTTAACAATCATAATCACAAACATAATTTATTTATGTTCTTTAATTCAAAACCATCACATCCATTCCGACAATCTCGCCTCCGTCTGCTTCCAGGATCACGTCACTTCATTAACCTGCGTGTAGCAAATAAAACATACTACACGCTCAGCGTTGAAGCTGAGTAAGCATATCTAATGCATCGAACATCCATATAAACTGAATCTAAATTCATAATCAAATCATTTGATATCATGCACATAATGTTCAGTTCAGATAATCAATAATTATTAAAAATTATTCATCATACATTATTCAACATTTATATTCACATTCAATGTTCATTAGTCATTCATAATAATTGCAATATTCAATTCAATATTCATCATTCAATATTTACTCATATTCAATATTCAATATTCAATATTCAACATTCAACAATATCCTTAAACTATTCTTAGTCTAAGGCCAATCACTTTAATATTTGTCAACCCTTAAACGAATTCTAGTTTAAATAATTAAACTATATTCCAGAATAAAATATTCCTAAATAATCCTTAAGCTAGGCCTAGTTTAAGATAAAAGGGTTTTAAAAATCTTAAACTTACCTTCACTTAAGGCCAACCAAAAACCGACAGCGTAGTGTTCACTGTTGGGTGGGTGGTACCCCCAAACGAGTAGGTACTCAAGTTTGGTTCTTGGATCCCGTACGTACGTTTTAACCCTAGCCACCGGGGTTCATACCCGCAAGGCCTAACTTAAATAGGTATATCTTAGAGGTTTTCTAGATACCTTTCAAATCAACATTAATATGGGTATATCTTAGAGGTCTTCTAGATACCCTTAACAATACATTTTATTTTCACAATCATCAATATATTCATTATGATTTAATCATTCACAATTATCATTTTTAATCAGAATATTCATCAAGATTCAATCATCATAATAATCAATCAATAATCATTACCATAATCATCAATCAACATAATATTCAATAA